TATTAATAAGAAAGCCGACAACCAAATGGAAAAAGACCGGCTGATGGAATACTACAACCGCGCCTCCCTCTGGGCACGAATGGTGATGCACTTCGCCTCCATCGGCACAGCCGTTGTCCAACGCCCCATGCCCGCACCCCCAAACTCCACATCCGAATGGCTCATCTCCGTCTCTGAAGGCGCAATGAACACCTCTGTCCTCGCCGGCGTCCTCAACGAACAACCCGAAACGCCCACCGACTTCCAAACTCTCAAATACGCATACGGCGCCACGCGCTCGAAACTCCTCGCCGTCCTCTCCACGCAAATGTCATATGATGCGGCGAACAACGCGGAGAACTATGCGTTGTATGCGCTGGCGCAGTATATCATCCAGAACAAAGGATTCTATCCTGCGGTTCCGATTATGGATTTTCCGAATGAGGCGAGTGTGCTTACGAATGAGAATCTGCAGGATGGCGAGAGGGTCAAGTATGCGTATTTCGATGCTGTGGATGTGGTGGCGAGGCCGACGGATATGGAACTCAAGGGTGCGCCGTTGCCTTCGAAGGGTGCGGTGGTGAATGCTAGAGGAGTGGGGATTATGGTTGTTACGTTGGGGGTTGGAGCTACGCTTCTACTGGCGCCGTTCGGATGAAAGATCAGGAGGTTTGCGAAACGGAATACCTGGTTTTTAACGAGCATGTCGACATCAGTTACGGGAACATTTCCCCGAGGCCTGTCGATTGTCCCAGTTACAACTACCGAGGAAGAAGAAGGACATCGCCACGCCATAACGCCTCCAAGCCCCATAAGATATAGGTCGCATCGCCTCCGATCCTACGGCGGTCATCAAACACCCTGCCACCCAGCGCGGACAACACATGCTTGGTGCATTACAACATGCAAGCCTGCCCGCGCAGAGCACATGCCATCGTCGGGCCCTCTTCTAAGAACCTCGGCTGGTGCTGTATCGTTGGCGACGCTGAAATTCATTCCGCGTCAGCAATGATACAGCACCAGCTCAGGCTCTCAGGAGAGGGCCCGTCACGAGAGACAAGAGTTTTCCCGATGACTTCTACCGTGGCCGGGGCATCGGCCTGCGATCGGTTATGCTACCTACCTACCTATCTACCTACTTACTTACCTACCTTGGAACCCCCAACGCATATATCAAGAACAGCAAGCCCGGCGCGGGGCCTATTCACCTTCACCACCGTATCAAACACTTCGCACCTCTTCTCAAATATGGCAAGCAGCGCGTGGAGACGTTTGATCGTCTCGTTACAAACCCTCTGGTAACAAGACGATGGAACGACACCACGCGCTGCATGCTGCATTTGATGACAAGAACATTCGTCTGGAGCATAAAAGCAATGGCAAGACACAAATTGCCTGCTTAACAGACTCGACTGGCTGTGTCCGGAACCTCTCTATCCATTTCCCCCGTCGCAATACATACTCTCAGGACAAGAACAGCAAACGGGCCTCTTCACCTCCACCTTTCCTTCAAACCCCTCATATCAAGACATCTAGAAGAAACGCAGTTGCGGTGTTCTACTATGCAGTAGACACTGTGTATGACTAGTACAACACGCGTTGTTTACCGCATAGTAGAAGACTGCCACTGCGTTTCTTCTAGACGTTTTGGTGTAGGGGGTTTAAGCGGGAGGGTAGATATAGATATAGGTATACAAGAAGAAGAAGAAGAAGTCCTTAAACAGGTAACAAGGACAGCAAGCCAGCGCAGAGCCCAACTTACCTTCCCCCCACCCCCCCCGCACAGTCTTCTCATAGTGAGAATGACAACGTGTATAACACCTCGTATCGTCTCGGCACTGCTGGTGACCGAGAGCTGGAGCGATTATACGCGGTGTCATCCGCACTATGAGAAGATTGTGAGGGGGCTGTGGGGGGCGAGATGGTTGGGTGGAGTGGAGGAGGCTGAGGGTGTAGATAGGAGAGGAGAAAGTAGATAATGATGGATGGTGTTTTATGTGAGAGAGATAGCGACAAAGAGGTTGCTGTTTGTTATCAAGGGTTTAACGACTTCCCTCCTCACCACCTTCCAATATAACAACTGCTTATAACCCAACGCCCATCCATCTTTCTCCCCTCCTATCTGATCGAACCATTTCATCTCTGCAAATTACAGACACCTTCCTCGCCTTCTCGATTTCTCCATCCATCCCCATCTCCAGTTGAGTCGCCATCTTCCTGCCCTCACTCCACACCCAACCCCTTGTCATCGCGGCGACGATTGTAAAGATCTTATCGTTCTAGCTCCGTTGACAGAGTCATGTGTTGGAGGTTTCGGAGGAGGAGGGTTGGCAGCATCCATCGTCCACGTATTGTCCTGGTCGGGGAGGTACATTGATATTTCGAGTTGTTTAAGCATCCTCTAGACGCGGTTTACTCTGCGAGCACGCGAGGGACCCAGAGAGTTTGTCGTAGCTAGTTTGTCGCATCATTGTCGTAGCACCTCATAGCCGGAAACTTGGTCTTTGCGACACTGCTGTCCTGTGGGCCGTGTATCGAGATCGTTTGTAGCGGTGATAGCGGTCGTAGTGGTGGTTTCCAGAGGAGGCAAAGCGCTAAAGTGAATAGAACTAGGATAGTGATGAGGATGACGGTGGGGGGATTCATGATGTGGTTCGAGTATGGGAACGGATGGTTTTGGATGTAGCGAGAAGATGGAGCGGATCTGATACTGTTATATGCTCCGATTTGCTCGCGGCATGAACCGTATCGAAATGGGCTCGATATGAATTGAGTATCTCAGGACTCGAGTGTTTCTTGTCATACGTCGACTGTAATGGGTCCATCGCGCGAGAGACTCAGTATTGAGATTTTGCGTCGTACGTACTGTATGGAGTACTCGCGCCTTTGACCCGAAGGGGCTTAACGTAGGATTCCATGGACGTTAGACTGGGGTTGTGTCTTATGGGCCGCGCGGTGTTTGTGATCTCGCTTGCTCGGTGATGATATGGTAGATGGGGTCTTGGTAGAACGTGAATGTGTTGTTTAGACCATGCTCTCGGGTGGTTGTTTTTGTTTCTGAGATGCTGAGGACGGAGGCATCGGCTGTGTCGGTGATGGCTGTAGGGGTGCTGGACTCCAGAGAACGCAGAGTAGCATGGTGAAAAGTATGAGAATAACGATTATTAAGCTCAAGAGATCCATAGCGACTGAATTCGAATAAGAAAAGTTGAAGATCACAAAGAGGGTAAATGGGGATTCTGATTTCAGTGCGGTTTTATGCTGCGGCATGATACTTGATGAAAGGGGCGCTGAAGACAGATGAACACGACGCATCTCGGTTGACTCGGTCTTGTTCCCAAATTTACTTTTGCGCAAGTATCTTGGAGTATGGCTGAGTATCTTGGTGTTGGCTTGGTAGATTACTGGTAAATTTGCGCCCTTTCCCGATTGGGTTAGATGGGGTTTGTGTAGATGGTTTGTCCATGCATTCCAGCTTACATGGCACAGCAACGATATGTGTCGAGATACGCAAGGGAAGGCATTGATGCAGATGGTTGTAGGGCTGTTATATGTAAGAGTTGTTTGATGGATGTTGTCTCTTTGAAGATTTGATTTGTTCGGTGGGAATGTCGGGGCGATGCAAGTGTATCTCGCATGACGTGTAGTATTACCATACTGACCGGTCGCATGCTCGAACAGACGTCAATACTAGAGTAAATGTGAGTGGCTAGTATAACATCGAAAGTGGTGACAATATTGGATGTTGGACTGGAACTGCTGTCGCAAGAAGTACGCGGGGTCCTGCTACGGAAGGAAATAGCATGTCGACATGACCATAGTGCTCCGGAAAGAGGAAGCAGTAGCGAATGCGAAGAACAAAGTATGGGGAATGGCTAGTACTTGGAGATTTATCAAATCGTAGTGTCGTACGAGGTTCGGGCTCAACACAAGCATTGTAGATCGCTGGTGGGCAGCCGAGGCAGGCACCGACACAGTGGCTACAGTGTAATGAAATGAGGAGCAGTCGCGGAACAAACCGGGGATGGAATGGTCGACAAGTTTAGATGCTCGATGAGAGGGAATAAAGCGTAGCAACAGTCATCGTTTCCCCAGATTGACCCCTGGGATGCGCAAACTAGAGGTGATCGGACGGGAGCTACGGTAGGGTCGGCCAACGAAAAGACAGTCGTGTGCCGCCACTGCAGTTTTCGGACCGCAGAAGAGTGCTGGGACACGGTTGCGCGCCATTGAAGAAAATGGCGGAGGAGATTCCCTTCTTGATCTCTAGGCGCACTCGGATCCCGGCGAGACGGCTCGTTGCGGTGAGAAGGTTTGTCCGAGCAGGATTGAGGTGGTGGACAGAAGGAGAGGCGTTGATGTGTGTAGGACGCCAACGAAGGGCATGGGGATAGTTGGAGCTAGTTCCTGTGCCTGAGCGATGCTGTGATGACAGTAACCAGGTCGATGTGAGGTGGATGCATGTCATCCTTTGAGGGTTCGGAGAGCTTGGCGGCCGGGAGCAGGGAAGGAGCAAGCGAGGTGGTGGGCGCTAGTGGGCTCAGCAGGTGGGCGCAAGACATCTTTCACATGTGATGGCGGTCCAACTTCTCACGCGCAACCAGACGCATTCTTGACATCCAATCCAACACCCGAGTCTCTCACTGTCTAGTATATCACGCGCATTCACTGTCGCCGCCCGCTGGGGATGCGCCTGCTCACCGGCACTGTCTTGTCCGACGCCCCATCCCGGCAGCGCAGCCAGCGCCGTTGCGAATGCTCGTTCCGCACGTCATATCGCGCGCACTCTCTCAACACCTCCCAACCACGCCAGTCTCGACGCCTCCACACGCACAAGCACTGTGAAGACTTGTCGACGGCCTAGCCCAGCGTCTCGTCTAGCCCGGTCGAGCGGGTAGGGCATCAGAGAGTAGACAGTAGTCTATCCCTCCGCCTCACCCACCACCAAGCTGGAGACGTTGTCGCATCAGTCGTTCGCGGGGCTCGCGGGTGCTACGGCCAGGCGCCTCCCACGACCCGCCATGAACGACAAGGACCCGCCGCCGTTTGGCTGTACGCTTGCCGACCACGGCGCAGAGACTACACACTGACGCAGAGCAGACACCTTCACCAACGACTTCTTCGACGGCCCGCCCGCCACCTACGACCACAATGGCCAGTCCATCCTCAGCGACATGGAGAACCAGCAGCTCGACAACTTCTTCTCCTCGACCAATCCCTTTGACCTCGTCGACTCGCAAGCCCTGCCACCCGCCCTCGACACCAAGGCGAGCGCCCACGACTACAACAACTGGGAAGACTTCATAGCCCCGCCCACCGTCCACCGCGTGACCAGCACTATACCAGACCAGGCCCGTCTGCAGAACAACTTCCACCAAGACCAGCAATACCCTTCGTCGCTCCACACAGATTTCCTAGGCAATACCCAGGATGAGCTCCAGGCAGCCACGGCTCTCTTCAACCAGGCCCAGCCTTCATACACGAACGGCCGCTCGCACAGCTTCCATGAACTATCTACCGCCTCCAACGGCTTCGATGCGAGTAGGGCACCCGATCTGAATCTCAACACGCTGCCCATGACAATGCCCCAACATGGCCTTATACACGAACGCTTGGGATCATTAGTACCGAACCACAACGCCCAAGCCACCGACGCCCAGTATGCCTCACAATGGGCAGCGAGCCAGGCGCCACAACAACACCACTCCGAATTTGGCCCACCGCTCCAGAAGCTCGACCTGAAGAGGTCGTATACTTTCGGCACGGACAACTCTTTCAACAGCCCATCCGGTTACTCAATACCCAACGGTCATCCAGACGCAGAGAGCGCAGCTAGGGCCTCAATACAAGACATTGAAGAAACTTCACACCACATCCTACGAGCCGTAGCCGGCATACAAGGCCCAAGTACCCCTACCACCTACACCCGCGGGCCACGAGACTCCGACGAGCAGTCCGAAGACGCCGAATCCGACGACGAAGACGAAGACCGGCCAGCGAAGAAGCGGAAAAAGAGCCAGGTGCGATATAGCAAAGACACACCCAAGAAAGCCGCGCGCAATGCCAAGGCTCGGAAAGCGTCTACGGTGGAGGACAGTACGAAGAAGAAGCGGGCGTCCACTGCGGCTCAGAAGGCACATCGCGAGAATCTCACTGAGGAGCAGAAGCGGAATAATCATATCTTGTCGGAGCAGAAGCGGAGGGATTTGATCAAGCAGGGGTACAAGGATTTGAATGAGGTTGTGCCTGCTGTAAGAGGTGGCGGGCTGAGTAAGAGTCAGGTTCTTGTTGAGGCGGCGGCGTTCTTGGAGAAGCTGATTGAGGAGAATGACAAGTATCGGGTTTCGATGGGGTGATCTGCCGGATTGCCACTGCAGTGGAGCCGACAGTTACCTGCTACCGCTATACGCTTTGTCACGATCTGGCGTGAGGAGTCGACTACGATGCCACAGGCGTTCGATCACGGTACACCAAACGACGACCACCCGGAGGCACGACCCCGATCTCAGCGTAGAATCACACTCACGCGCATGCGTTCTACGAGGTCATGACGCCGCGATCCCATGATTGTACATGTGCTACAGATTACCAACAACAAAAAGGAGTTTTGGGAAAGGGAGGAAGGGAGGGAGGGAGGGAGGGAGGCCATTCGATACGATACCCCAACACACTAACTAGTATGAAAATAATCTTCTTGTAAATATTCAAGCGCTGAGGAATTTATTTTTGTTCGAGATTGAGGAAATATCTATATTCAGATGGACTGGTCTTTTGCCCGTGCCTTGCAAGTACACGCTCTTATACCACGCTTACATAGTTGATGTGATGATGACTTTACGCCGCAGCGGTAGCAGTAGCAGCCACCCCCTCCTCCGGAACCACAACCCTCAACGCCTCATCTCTCACCCTCGCAGGCCCCCTCTCAAACCCCCTCGGCACCCCCGCTACCCTCCCATGTACTTTTCCCCTTGCGCCCCCCGGCCCCGTGACCTTCTTCCTCTTCTGCGTAGCATAATCACATCTCCCGTAATCGTTACAGAAACCCGTTTTACACGCGTTGTTGCTGCGGCAGGGACTGCCAAGACAAGAGTCGCTGAGGGAGCACGGTGTGCAGAGGCCCCAGGAACAATATTCGTGAGAGGAGCAGTGGGTGGGTGTTGTGCAGGGGTTGTATTTAGGAGGATAAGGGGAGGGGGAGAGACATATCGGTGGGTTTGGTGGTGGGGAAGGGGAAGGGGAAGGGGAAGAGGGGGAGCTGGCAAGGGATGCGATGGCGAAGAGGTGAGGCAGGGAATCCGTATAACACATCCCTTTTGGATCATTCGGCTTCACCTTCCTCCTCCTAAACTCCTCCTCCTCTTCTTGCAGCATCCCGCTGTCTCCCGGTATCGTCCTCTTCCTCTTCTTCTTCTTATCTTCCGGCTGGATAGTCATCCGTGCAACACAAGCCGCACACTCCCCCTCCACACACCGTAAATGGCTCTGACAGACGGCCTTGCTGTTGCATCTGTCTCCCACTTTCCCTGGCTGCGAGGAGGGGTTGGTTTGGCATACACTATTCTTACAAAGTAGATCCGGTGCACAGCCATCTGCTGCGTCGCATAAATGCCCCACGCAGCCGAATGTACACTCGCTTTGTTCGATGATATACGGGTTCAACCGCACACTCGTGACGTTAGACAGGCCCGCCGGTTTCAGTTTCCATTCTTTTGTAGAGGGGGAGCCGGTGAGCATGGAGCGGAGGTATGCTTCTGTGGTTTCGTCGGCGGAGGGGGCGATGATGGTCCTGGGTGGGTGGAGGTATTTGGACCAGGAGAAGGGGCTACGCGTTGTGAAAGAGGCTTTTAGGATGGAGGCGAGGGCGGGCCAGGTTGTGTAGGTGGGGTGGAGGGGGTTTATGCGGGAGGATTTGCCTTCGGAGAGGGGGGTTAGGTGGGAGTATAGCTAGTCTTGTCGTTAGTAAACCACGTCTTTAGTCCCACAAACAATAAGGAAGGCAGGAAGAGAGGAAACAGACCAAGACATACCCAAGGAATCCCCCTATAATTCAGCACATTCCCCCCATCCCAAACCGCCTCCCTCTTATAAAACAACCCAAACACCTCACTATGCACATACCCCCACTCCTCCACCAACAACAGTTTCCCCTCCCCCTTCTTCCTCCCCTCCGCCCTCCCCATCAACGTATTACCCGGTAGAAACAAATCCGCCCACGCCGTCCCCGCCGTTCTATCAGTCCTCTTATCGAAATACCCATGGATGCCAATCACATCAATAGCCCCGCAGTCAAACACGCTATCCGGAAAATTCTCAGTCCCGGAAATGGACTGGGCGCCTGAGACGCCGCCGCTGATGACGGCGATGTTGGATGCGTCGAGGTTGATGCTGTATTTTAGATAGGAGGCGATGTCGCAGAGCCAGGATTCGCCGGAGGGGATAGGGGAGATACCGGAGAAAGGCTGGTTTTGCAGATCTACACCTAGGATGACTTCGGAGAGCGTGCTCCAGGGCCGTCCGTCAAAGTTCTTGGAGGGGTAGTGTGTGAAGAAGACTTCTAGGCGCTGTTTATACAAGTCGCGATATTCTTCATTACTATAAAAGTCTAGAAACGCACCATCGAGTTTCTGGCAGTAGGCGTCACACGACACATCATTTGTACCCCGGAGCGCATGTGCGTCGTGCGGTGCGATGATGACTTTCATCTGGCCTTTCGACAAATGGTGGATGGCTGCTAGTGTGTCGTCGAATTGGTCGAGCAGCGACTTGTCGAAGCCACCTATCTCGCCTTCGGGATCTGGGTGTTGGGCATCTGGGCGGATGAAGAGCCGGATTACGCGGGCGCCGCTTTTGATGATTTCGCGGATTGTGGCGTCGCGGTGGGTGGGGGTGAGGAATTGGAGTTGGGGGTAGTTTACACCGCCGAAGGAGTGGTTGGAGGAGGTGATTCTGAGGGAGGAGGAGGCGGAGGCGGAGGCGAGGGGAGAGTAGGTGATGAGGGATAGTGATAGTGTCAGGAAGGATGGGAGGAGCATCTTTGCGAATATGGCATGGACGACAAGACAACGGAAAGGAATTGCATTGCGACGCGGTATAAGTCCATCATCTTGATCTGAACACGTGTAGAAGTTTTGCTATAGACAGATCTCTGTAAAGGCGGACTAGATGTTGATACTTGCGGGATTGACAATGTTCATATGGATAGATTAATTGCGGTGGTGCATGCAGCCAATCACGGCGTGCTTGCAGGCAGTATACGCGGGGTTGCTAACCTGGACGGCGGGATGATGGAAGTTGACAGGGTGTGGTTTCTGGAGTTCGTACTGGGTTTGTCACGCTGTCTTGTGCTCGTGATGGTCCTGGCTAACGGGGATACAGACGCGTGGTTGATGCACCGGAGAATGAGCACAGCAAGCGTCGCATCGGGTATTGGCAAGATGTTATGGTATGATATTTGCCGCGATGAGGATCGGATGAAACCATGTATCAGAGTCGTCGTGCGCAAGTCCGGCGGATGGGAGTGGCAGCTACGTTGTGCGCTCACTTTATCCTAGATACATAGCCTTGGTAATGATTCGGGCGTGGACAGGAAGCACTGCGACATGCTGCGATACGTCGCAGGATATCCTTTGATCCAAATCTACGGGGATGATCTGGATCCCTTGTCCTAGTGCTGGTGTTGTTCCTGTCAACGGTTGAAGAGTGGCGTCTACTGCTCGGCGTAGTGCGGGATCGCACAAACGTCTCTGTAGACATACTACTTCCCTGACGGGCATAAAAACTGCGCAAGCGTAACCTCGTTTTGCGGTCGATAGCCTTGGGCGGTAATGCGCAATTTCACCAGCTCAGGCAGTGTGTGATCCAAGTCGAAGACTGAACCTTTCGACCGCTAGCATGCTCCGCATGTTCGTACGTTGTATATGTCAAGACGATGCTCGGATATTCGCAATTCTCATCCAGCCGGTTTATCGCACACAGCTTCAAGTTGCTTGAGCGTGGCCATGACTTCTTCTCCAATGTTTTCTCCGCTGGACGACGGTGCGAAGCGGCCATGTCGCAGCTCACTGAGGGCGCCAACAACGTCTTTGACCTCAGCCAAAGCCCGTTTATTCTCTTGCTCTATCTCTGCGATCTGGGCCTCGAGGGTTTGGCATGCTTCTTCCATGTCGGAGTGGACCGTCTGTAGCGTGTGCGGTTTCTTGCGACTTTGGTCCGAGAGCTGGTGATTGTCAGCGCAAATCTTGGCATTCTTCCCATATGTTGGGTACCTCCTGCTCCATTTGAAGCGCAATCGGGTCCAGTCCGGCGACGGTTGCATCGTCTACGTGGCGTCTTTCCCGAGCGTACTCCCGCCTCAGCTGCTTGGACCGTTTGACCTCATCGATAATGTCCTGGCGAATCAGCTCGATATCCCTATCGCGTATGTGCTGAAGCTCGCGATAGATTTCCTGTACAGCGGGGTTGGAGCGGTGGGCGCGGGGGAAGATGTCGGTGAAGTCGCGTAGGGTGGTGAAGTCGCGCAAGGGAGCAGGTGCGAGGAGGAAGTCACCGAGGATCTTGGCCTCTTGCGACGGCATGATTAGAGCGGTGGAGGGAGGTTTTAGACTGGATGGTGTCCACGCATATGATTGATACGGCAGTGTTGGTCGTGGATGCGCCAATGAAGGAGGGCCATCGGAACGCGCGACGACGCGTTGTGGCCCGTGCCCAGAAAACTCCCGTGAGACGTGCCTGGACGACTCCAAGCAAACGTCGACTGAACCGTCTTTCACCAAGCTTGTCGACAGTTCTCTGTATTCAGGCAACCATCACTCCAATCTTGCGGCGCAAAGTATCGTTCTTATTGTTGAACACTAAGGCTGGCACGAAGACGCGCTACGTGGACGTGCAATCTCTCGCACCCTTACCGCTTCCTTCCTGACTACCAAACCCATCGACATCAGTTTCATCACATTCCATCGCAATCATGGCGCCCGCAGCTGCGCCAGAGCCTTCCTTCAAGAAAGATGAAAAGGTCTTTTGTTTCCACCACGAGTTGCTATACGAGGCCAAGGTGCTCGAAGTCAGGCCTGTAGAAGAAGACAAGAAGAATGGCTTCGAATACAGAGTCCACTACAAGGGCTGGAAGAACACGTACGTATCTTCTATCCGTTCGAGTCTGCGCCCGCCTGCTTGTCATTCCGTCTCCCACTGCGGAAGTCACGTTTGCCTCTGCATACACTTCACTCGTGCCCACGTACTACACCCTTACTACACATTCGCAGCGGCACATCATTTCAAATCGGCCCCTCAAAACTCAAAAAGCCGCGGCTTGCTTTTGAGATCGCAAGCTAACGCATCGCAGCTGGGACGACTGGGTTCCTGAGGACCGGCTTCGCAAGCTGTCTCCCGAGAACCGAGAGTTGGCCAATAACCTCAGGCACGAGATGCTGGCGGCCCAGCGTGCCGCGAGAGCTCAGCCCGCACCTGCGAAAAAGAAGGCTCAAGGTTCGGCGCGCGGTAGCGAAGAGCGTCAAACCTCCGTCACTGCTGCACCGCGTGGTCAGAAGAGGGTGCGGGATAATGACTTGGAAAAGGTGTGTATTCCAGCATTTCGCCCCACGCTTTCCAGCGCGCCCTCTAACTCCCCTTAGGAAGAAGCATTCCAGAATAAACTGGCTGTCAGGATCTACATGCCAGATAGGCTAAAGAGCCTCCTAGTTGATGACTGGGAGAACATCACTAAGAACCTGCAACTCGTTCAGCTGCCTTCAGCTTACCCTGCAGGCGTCATACTGGACGAGTACATGAAGCATGTCAAAGACAACAGCAACCGCACCAGCATCGAGCAGGACATTCTCGAGGAAGTCATAGCTGGACTGAAGGAGTACTTCAATAAGAGCGTCGGACGTCTTCTCTTGTACCGATTTGAGCGCGAGCAGTTCTATGACATCTGGACGCGCATCAATTCTCCGACGGATGATCTTGCGGCAAAGCCGCTGGCTGACATCTATGGCGGCGAGCATCTTCTGCGTCTTCTGGGTATGCATATATGAGTAGTTGGGTGTGAATATTGCTAACAAGGCTTTCACAGTCACCATGCCCGAACTCATTGCGCAGACCAACATGGACCACCAGGCTGTTACGCGATTGCGTGAGGAGCTTAGCCAGATGACAACGTGGCTCTCCAAGGAAGCTCAGATCAACACCTTCTTTGTGCCTACCTATGAGAGCCCCGGACAGGCCTACATCGACAAGGTCAAGTCCAGCACCTAGGAAGGCGGTGACTTGAAAATTTGATCAGTCGGCCGTTTCGCTTTGTCATTTGTGTATCATCACTTCTGCATGGCTGGTGGGTTAGGGCATTGTCTAATGGCGCATAGGCGTTCTTGAGTAGTAACAACTGTGTATGGGATCGGGGTATGCAGTTTTTAAGTTGTCAAGCTCCAAAGTGACATGGATACAAGTATAATAATACAGACTCGAAAAGTACTCATGTCTTCTTGATGACGTCCTCCAGTAACCCAGCAGCCCAATGCAAACACCTCGTCATATCGCCCTCCGCTTCTCTCGGCATGCCGTATATGCCAACGCTCTCGCAAACCTTCTCATCCAACTCTCCATCCACATCCCCATTCTTGAACAGGAACTTATGGTCTTTCACATAGTTCGGCCACACAATATCATCTACATAGCCCGGCGGATCTTGCCAGAAGCCCTCGAGCGTCACATATCCACTCCTCGCCTCCCGCCTCCGCTTCGCAGTCTCATAGCTCGTCCGTAAAAAGAGTCTAACATCGAAAATCTCACGGATATCCTTCATATCCTGCGAAAACAGCAAAAACCCATCAACAATACATATCCGTCGCTCTTCCCACTCCGGCTTACTACTCTTCAACCACACCTCAACCTCATCTTTCAACCTCCTGATCTCAGCCTCAGGTACACCATGGTCGCCAACACTGTTCTGATCTTCCTGGCTGACCAGCCATTCTGGACTGTTACCATGTTGTTTGATGTGCTGCAGTGCTTGTTTGAGCGCAGGTAGGTTGAGCGACTCTATGCAATCCCAGTCTTGGACAGAGTTCTTGACGGGGATCTCGGCGTCGGTGAGGTAGAAGTCGTCGAGATGTAGGATGGAGAGTTTGGAGGGGGGGAAGATGTCGTGGAGGAGACGGGAGAGGGTTGTTTTGCCCGAGGAGGAGGGGCCTGAGATGCCGACTAGGAGGGGGGGTGGCATCGTGGTTGGGGGGTTGGAGGGCTGGAGGGACGCGGGGTACCGGGAGTTTGGTTGCGCCTTCCTTTAGGATTGTATTGACGGGTCACAATAATAAGAATAATTCGAGGGGATATTGTCTAGTCACATTCTCACACGACATGCCTCCCTTCACACGTGTGAATGGTGGGGCTGTCGGCGTCTGATCGCCCACCCGGCCCGCTAGTTCCCCATGCTGCGCGACGCGCCTGCGACTGCCACCATCTGGCGCCCTGCATCACCCACGATAAATTCCCCAAAGTCCCTCGCACGCACAACCATGGAGCCGTCACCGCTGACGCAGGACACGCGACCGGAAATCTTCCAACCCAAAATAATCTCCCTCTACGAAACCCTCTTCAAAGTGCGATCCTCCCCACCCACGTTGCGCCAGCCACATGCTAACCATCCCCAGGAAGACGACGAAGAAATCGAGCTATCCGCCGGCTTCTGGCAAGAATTCTTCCTCCACCGCCCCGACCCCACCGGCCTTCAGCGCATACTCAGTTCGGTAACGCCGGACGAGATGCTGCACCAGCAAGCGCATTCGCAGGCACTCTTCAGCCAGGCCATCCTCCGCGTCAAGCAAGCCAGCGCGCCCGCCGACGAAATCGCCCTCGAGGTACCCATGCCACCCACCCACGCACACACACCTTCTCCTTCTCCATGCGCTTACCGCTTAGACCTTGACAGTCTTCCTCGATGCCGCTCTTACCAAGAAGTACACGAATCCTAGCGCCGATATCATAGCTGTTCTTACGGGGCTGAATGATGCGGATGCTGTTATGACGGACTTTGTTG